GCATTAAAATTAATAAACAAGAGACTATGAAGATTTATTGGTACAATTACTTTTATTATAAAATTAGTTGTATACCATGATATAGAAATAAAAAATATACAAAACAGTGTGATGATCAAGTATGACAGGTTCTTCTGAAATGGATACAAATAAACAAACAGAAGAATCTAATAATATTCCAAATAATGTTGGAAAATCTGAAAGTTCAGATTCAATAGAGGTTATTATTATATACATAATGATATGTTTATATTTATGTTTAAACATTAAGTTATATTTAAAAAAGATAGATATAAAAAAATTTAAAAAAACTTAAAAAACAAAAACATAAATTTATTATATTTTCTATTTAGGTGGATAATTCACGTACAGTTTTATTAAAAATAGCAACATTATATGCAGAACGTCTTATGAATGATATTTGTCTAGTTGTTGATGGTATAGAATATCCAGCACATCGTCTTATACTTTGTGCTTCTAGTGATGTTTTTCAAGTAAGTAAATCTGTTTTTAAATTAGTATATAATAAGATGAAATGAAAAACAATTGTTTATTCTTATACAGGATAAAACTGTCACTAAACTGGTGGTATAACCTAAAAGGACATGATTTTATGTAAAAAAAGTAAATTAATATTTAGAATAATATTTTTTTAAATTAAATATTTATTCTTAAGTTGATTCATTCACTTAAAATATTTAAAAAAATATAATATTGGATATAAGTATATTATTGGTAGATAAATGAAAACTATTTTTTATTTTTATGTTTAATAAAAAAAAATTTTTAAATAAAAGATATTTTCGTTTCGTTATTATTCCTTTATTATTTCAATACTATAACTATAATATTGATTAAATATTAATTAAAACAATAATATGACAATTTTTTTATTGGATATTTATTATATTTATTTTAAATAAATAAAATAAAAGTAATATTTCAATATTATACTCATTATTATTTTTTTCAATATAGGTAATGTTAATGAGTCCTCAATGGAGTGAATCTCAAGAAAGTAGAGTAACCCTCCAAGAAACGCCACAATGTGTACCTATATTTAGTGAGTTTCTGCGGTACTTTTATACTGGTCAAATAAGAATTAATTATGGTGTCGTTCTACCAATATTATCATTAGCTGATAAGTATAATGTTAAGGATTTAATATCACTGTGCCTTGATTATATGCAAAATCATATTGCATTAGCTGCCATACATGGCACTTTAGTATCATGGTTACAATATACTTCAAATTGTGGTCATCACAATATTACTCAAGCATGCCAAAATTTTATTAAATGGAATTTGGAATTGGTGGCTAAGACTGCAGACTTTGGAAACTTTGATTTGGATATTTTAGTATCATTGTTACATCAAAGTAGTTTAGTAATAAAGGATGAAATGACATTATATAAATGTTTAGAATCATGGTTAGATCATCAGGCAAATCGATTAAAAACACAATTATCACACGATGAATTAGAAGCAACATTGGAACAATTGGTAATAGCTGTGATGTCTCCAGTTAGATTTCCAATGATGTCTCCTCGGCAATTAGCAGAATTGCTATTATTTCCTTTAACAAAAAAATATAAGGAATTCTTTGTAGAACGTATGTCTATAGGGATGTCATTTCATTCTGGTCAATTAGACAGAGTTAAAGAAGTGAGTTCAAGTGAAGAAGATGGCGCATTACTTTTTGAACCTAGATTATATACTGTAGACACTTGTAGTTCATTACTTACAATAGAGAATTTTCACGGTTTACCTTCTTATCATACAAGAACACTTGTATTTTCGAGTCATTCGTGTTTGGCAGAATATGCTGGTGACCGTGCGTGTGAATGGGTCGTAGACATATATCCGAAAGGGGTTTGGTTTAAAAAATTTTTTTTGATAGTATGGCAAGGAACAGTAGAGATGCCAGAACATGTAAAACGTTCGGTTAGATTATCACTTACGTGTAAGGAACCACCCGTAAATAGTAATGCCGATATGCGGGTAAAAATAGGTGTTTTAATATATGGTTTACAGGATGGTGTTGAGCATATTGCTAGAGTAACAGAAATTATTCACAGATTTAGTAAAAAAGAACGAGTTCTTAATTTGGACGATCTTTTGCCGTTCGAGGAACTTAATCCGCAACAAGGTTCTGTAACAGAAAATACTTCTCCTTTTCTTGTAGGTCCAAATAAAGATATGCTCAAACTTCACATTGTTATATCACCAGCTAACTAAGATAAATCTCTTAAACTGTACCAAATAAAATTTTATTATGAAATTCAAGTATATTTAATATATAATAAATTGCCTTTATTTTATGTTAAAACTTATGATTTTGATATATATTCTAGATTTCCTCTTGTTTGGATACATTAGTATTTTAATATTAGATTGATATAAAGTTTTATATTTATATCAAACTATATATGAAAGAAAATTATAATAAAATATTGAAAGACTTAAATATTCTATATCTTTTCATTATATTAATATTTTGTAAGATGATAATTATTAAAGATAGTTACATAACCACTTTTAATTGGTTATATTTATTTGATATATATTTTTTTAATTTTATTAGTTGATATTATTTAAAATCGTTTTTAAAAAACAACAGATAAATGAAATGAGCTCATATTAATTTTTTTGTTAAAAAGAAATTAAGAATAAAAGAAATATTTTCGAAAAATTTAATTTCTATTTAATTTCTTAGTATATACTTTATTTTAATATATAATTTACTACATTAAACTTATATGAAATAAGTTTTAAAAGAATGTTTTTAAACATGAAAAGCCAAAATAAGTTAAAATTGATAATTGAATTTTTAAATTAAGATCAATTTTAACAATAAATAAACTCATTTATGATAATTATAAAAAACATTTTTTTAATACTACTTTTTTGTATATATTATAATATATATTTATTCAAAATTAAAATTGTACCTTCAATAATATAAAATTATAGTTATATTAAATCACATTATATAAAGTTTTGATTTAATCGAATATATATAATAATAATAATAATAATAATAATAAAAATGTTTAAAATTTATTTATTAAGTTATAAACAATTTGAATTTATATTAGATGAAATAGCGAGGCTGAAATGGAATGTGATAGAGATATAGCTAACTTTAGATAATATATCTTATAAATATAAATAAGGACAATAAATAGGAAAAAATAATAAAGAAAAAGATAGTGATAAAATAAAAATTAACTATTAGCTGTTGCCATCTTTCATCAAAGATATCATTTCAAAGGCAAGATAAGAAAGAATAGAAATTCGGGATCAACGCTATTCTAAATCTATCTATAGAGAGATATTTTTGCTATTCGAGAGATGACGCTAATTAATTCATATCCTATTCTATTCCTTTATTCTGTTGTTTTCCTTATCTATATATTGCATTTACAATATTCTATAGATGATTCACCAATTTTATTTTATCTTTCTTCCATTTTATTATTTTCCTTGTTTATACATACTCTTGACGCATAATCATAAATGAAATAAATGTTAATACCATTTTGAAAATATTTAAAAGTTGTAATTTTTAATATTTTATTAATAATTCAATAATTTTATAACATATTGATATGATAACTTATAAAACATTATGATTTATTAAATTTAATAATAGTTTTATAACTAATTTTATATTAATTTATTAAAATTTGTAGTTTTAGAAATATTTTTATAATAAAAAATTTGTCAAATTTGAGTTTTGTAAATATAAAAACTGATTTTTAATCTATTTCTTTTCTCTAATCTCGGTTTTTAATTTTTTGGCGCCATCTGATAATCATACAGTTGAACTATATTCTACATAAGCGTCAATAAGCTAATGTACCTTGCATAATATTCTTTTAGCAGTAATTTATGGATGTGAAACGACATTCAAAGTTATTTATCCATAATTTTGTTAATTATTTCATAGATAAAATATTGAAAATAGGTATGTAATTTATAAATTCTTTTTATAAAAAAAGATTTTGATAGATATTTGTTATTTTAACAATTTTTATTTTAATAATTTTTTTAATAATTTATTTTTATTTTAATAATTTAAAATCGTATTTATAAAAATTCATTGATTATAATATTCATGATTTGCAAATTATAATATTTATTTAAAAAATTATTTTATTAGTTATTATTTTCATATTTTATAAGTATATTTATGTATATCGTTGTTGATTTATATATTTGATTTAAATAACTTTTAAATCACTTGTTTAATTTACAAAATATGTAAATAAATAAATTTTAATTTATTTAATAATTTATTTAATAATTTATGCCATTATTTATTTTTATTTTAATTTGTCAAAATGATTTAGTTATAATTTATGAATAAAATTTTTTTAATTATATGAATTATTGAAATAAATATATAAGAAATATATAATTTATTTCAGAAATTTATGGTCAAGTGATTGTATAATTATTAAAATTTTATCAATTTCATCAAAATGATTTTGACACTTTTTTATATGATAGCAACATCAATTCAGTCAAGAAGAATTTTATTCTTAAAAACTCATTTAAGCAGTTTATTCCAAGGAAACACAAATACTTATCCGTCAATAATGTTTTATAACAAAACAATAGGTTCATATAAAGGTAATGTATTAGTATTTATTTTTATATATCATAATAATTTTGTATAAATTGTTCAATTTTAATATAGTTTAAAGATTATCTATTCATATAAGATATAAATAAATTAAATATTGTCTAAAGATATTGTGATATAATTTTATAAGTAAATTTCTTTAAAAAATTTGATATATTAAAATATCAAAATAATATAAATATTATATATTTGATTTAATTCATTATATATTAAATTTTAATTTGTTATCTGTTATTTAATCTATTATATTATTTATTTTTAATAATTGTTAAAATTAAAAATTCTTCAAATATATCATTTTTAATGATAATAATTAATATATTTTAATTAATATATTTCTACATATATATTTAATTTTTATTTATGACTATCAAATTATATAGTTTTATATATACTTATATATTT